TGAGGTCGGCTTTGATTGCTGCTTTAAGTGAGCTAATTGCTATTCTCCTACGCAGCCGCTATTATGGAGGCAGTTTCCTGAGTTTTTTTACAGTATATGTATTAAAGTGATAAAAAAAATTTAAAAAACGCTAATGATTGTTTTATTTCTCTTATTGTTTATTCGAATCATGCAAATGTTTGTCGAACCACGCTATAGAATACAACGTTGACCCTCATGATTGTCCAAACGCGTTATAGATTGTCAATGATTATGCTAATAGCACTAATGAATTTTCACTTTTGGGTAAATGATTGTCCATAACTGCAATTGTTTGTCATTTGGTGTCAGTTGAAGTTGAATTTCGCGCACAAGAAAATACATTCCGCGCATATGAATGTACAAACGCGCTATTGATTGTCCATTGATGCCTATGAATGTACACGCATATTCAATTGTCGTTATTGAAAGTTGATCCGYGCTAATGATGTTACTTGTGGTGTTGATGAAAGTACATTACACGTTAACTATTGATACAACTATTGGCACAAATGAATGTACATTTTCTGTTAATGAACAGCAAAAGGTGTAATAAAAATTCTATCAAAACTAAAGCACCTTTTAAATTCCAGTTTGTTTGTTGGACATTTTATTTTATTTTATATATTTTATATTCCATTGGGGAAACTATCCATTCGTTGGTGGTCACTCTAGAAAAGCAACTTTCAGGACCGCTACAATTCACAACCACCCTCGGAGCGATCAATATCTGCCAAATTACTAAACCAATCAAAATCTAAAATCGATGACCGATTGTCAAATGAATTGCTTTTTGTCTAAGCACCTGTTGAATTTTTTCTGTACGCGCTCCGAGGAGAAATAATTTTTTAAAGTTCAAAAAGCAGGCTACGGGGATTCGCAGTCATTTGCTGCGACCACTCAGTTCATCTACCTCCTCTCCTTTCCAGTCTACCTCCGAATCCTAACCCCACGATTATCGAGGGCCGCTACGCAGGCTAAGAAACTTTTGGTGGAGAGAAATAGAGCTTTTAAGTTCTACAACAGCTTGTTTGGAACACTTGTGTCATTACTATCGTGACTAGTAAACCTCACAACAGCCTCTACTGTTACAAGACAATCGACCCAGACTCTAACGGTACTGATTAACAGAGTGACTCTCTATACTACTTAAGGGTAATAGTAGCGACCTCACCATTGATAATTTTAGGAAAGATACCTCTGACCAGGTCACGTTCACGGCGCAGAAAGGCGAACAAGACGTCTGAAGCAAGCAATATCTACAAGAAAGAAATTTCTCTTAATAATGATCCGATCTGGAAGGTGCGGAAAATCTATTAGGGATCGCGCCAAGACAAAAGTCATCTCATGTGACCGGATTTAAAGACTAGGGGTGGGGTTAACCGGCAACCGCCACCTCTGGAATTGAAATCCTGGATGTTGTTCTCAAATATCTCTAAAACTAAAAGTCAAATCACAATAAAGAGTGTACTGTCTGTTTGCATGTACAGTATGCTAATCAGCGTATTTGTGTATAGACATAGTCACGTAGTCGTTACAGACACCAAGTGTGATGCCTTAATATTGCAACAGGTATCTGAGGGAGGCATCACCTTAACCAATAAAAAACAGGCCCCTATATTGGACATTTGTCTTGACCTTGCCCTAAGCATTGGTGACAAACCTGTGCAGTTGAATATGCAAGAGTGACAGCGAAGAAAAAGTTAGCATTGGCGCTTCCCGCGTATATCCATAGATACCAGAAGACTGGGGCGAGGAATGTTGAGAAGAGCAACATGCACGAGATCAGGAACGCATTGCGCAGGTCTGTGAAATAATATCATGTAAACTGTTAGTGATCCAGTCAAAGTCCATGCACAGTAACAGTGATGATCACAGGCAGCCCAAACAAGTTTTTCTGTGTATGGCACATAGGGGAATGTATGGGAGTTATGATAAAACACAGGCAGCCCAAACAAGGTTACTGAGTATTGATAGTATTCACATCGGCCATGTTGGAGGAATTTAACAAAAGAATTGTCAATGAATTCTTTTGGTATATCCTCCAACATGGCTGCTGCGTCTTTCGCTATCTAATTCTCTTGGGAATGGTTGAAAACCATCAATAGCTTATATAATGGAAGTGAAGGGAGTTATGATAAAGATATAAAACACAGGTAGCCCAAACAAGGTTATTGTGTATAGTTTATAAGGGAGTGTTAATCATGGAAGTGGCTTTGTTGAATACAAATAACATTGAATCAGTCTTAACAATAAAGTTCATGTTCTTGACCAGAATATGAAGCAGAAAGTCATTTCAGCTATTCTTGGAATGACCTATCTCGTATTGCTTTTCACCTATTGCCTATTGCCTATTGCCTATTGGCAATGAACATGTTTATTGAAACAGGTGTATGTCTTTATATTAATAACTCCCATACATTCCCTTATAAACCATACACAGGAACCTTGTTTGGGTTGCCTGTGTGATATAATTGTTATACTCACAAGGGAAGAGGTGTTTCCATAGCACCAAGAGGGATAGTGGTAAAGCTGCATCACCAAATGCTGGATAAGACTTCATTATGGCCATTATCAAGCATAAGATGCAGGCTAAGAAACTTGGATGTTCTCTGGATCAAGAAAGGGAGGTAAAGTATTTGAAATACATGCAACACCTTTGCTTGAGATCTATTCATAAATGGGTGAATAGTAATATATCCTCTCTTAATCCATTATCACGTCACAGTGAAGTTAAGTTATGTGGTGAGATCTGCAACTGTTATGAGATAAACAGCAAGACTAGGGGAGGGTGGGTGGGGTAAAATTCGTTTTCCAAAGCTCCAAACGACGTTGTTGTACAATAAGTCATATACGTTGAGTTAATTTATACTGCTCCACGCTAATTTCTTTAGTGAGAATAGTAAATAAATATTGCTTGGATATAGCCTGTGAAGTGCCTTCAGCAGAGGGAGTGGGGATGCCAGAGGGGGCTGGAGCTGGAGAGGGAGGAGAGGAGGAAGAGTTCCCTCCAGATGTTGCACCTGGCTTCATCTAAGGAGCCAATCCATCTTTGTTTAGCATTACATGGATCATGTTACAATGCATTCAAGAAAGAAGTAATACTCAAGGGAATGACAAGCCTCCTACACAGACTTTCTTAGGGTCTTCATGCTTTCATACAACTCTTCTCTACCAACAGAGAAACAGGAGAGAGAAACATTATATGACAAACTTAAGAACTTCTGTGTAGGAGGCTAGAGAGGAAAAATACACAATTTTATAGGGTATCTAGATTCACACAGAGTAATTTTCATCCAGGTCCTTTCTAGATAAGATTAGAATTTAGAAGCTGATTTTTGCAGAGGAAGAAAAACTGGAGAACCTGCAGAAAAACCCTTGACCACACTTTAGTCACATACATGGAAGTCCGAGAATGATATGAGGACTCAAATAGGGAAGCCAAAAAGGAAAGAATGTGAATGCAAGATGAAAAGCTCCCTTCCGCTGTTGCACCTTGCTTTATCTAAGGTAACAGCCAATCTCTTTTTACTATAATACAACATAATCTTTCCAGGAAAGAAATATTACTCAAGGGATCGGAATGACATGAGACCTCAAATGGGAAAGCCTCATAAAAAGGAAAAATGCAGACACTAGACAATAAATATAATTATCAAACTCATTAATAATTCATGAGGAAAACACAACAGAAATCACTACCGTGAAGAGTGTTGTAAATCTGATACAAAGCTGTGTTCATTTGCATAAACTTTAAGTTGGATATTCTTGGCCAAATTCACTTTAATTTTGAAAATTTTAGTGAAACACAAAGGAACTAACCTAGACGTTTGATAAGCCATATACAGTATTCGTGTCCGTGTTGTATCAGATATACAATCACTCGGCTACGCCTCATGGTCGTATATCTGATACAACACGGCCACTCATACTGTATATATTACATAACATACATATAGATACACCTCGTAAGAAGACAGAATATTCTGTAGGTATGAATAATATAAATAAAAAAGGTCATTCAATCAAAACTGTGGGGAAGATCTTACCTTAGTCTAACTGTCAAAGGAATGCAATAGAAAAATGCATTGATCTGGAAAACCCAAAGGAAGAACACTCTAAAATGCTCAAACATTTCAGTGAAGAAATACCAGAATAGACCAATGTTGGGTGTTAGGTCTGGCACACCCAATCTGAAACAAAAATCCAAACAAATAATCTTTATAAATAATTCTTTTTGTTTACTTGGTGCTCCTCATGTGTATTATAAATGAGTATCAGAAAATACTTTGGGTTATATGGCAAGATGTGGGGGGGAGGGGTGCTAACATCGCATGCAAGGATGTGGGTAGCGATAGGGTGGTGATTATGATGATAATGATAATGATGATTAGGCTGCATTCATAACGTATGGCAGAGGGGGGTGGGGGAGCAGGTGAAAATTTGAAATGTCCAGAATCATTCTTAACACCCCCTTAAAGTCATGGAAAAAAATATGATTCCCCTTAAGCAAGGCTTGTAGCTTCTTCCAAAAATTGCCTATCCACCCCTTTTTCCTACCAACATTTTCCCGTTTCCCCCTCAATTTTACCTGCCCCCCCCCCCCCCC